CCATCTGAATGTAAGAGCTCAGCCTTCAGCCCTATCTGACATTTGCTTCCCCCAGTGCCACTTAAACGAATCTTTAATCTCCTTGTTTATCTTCTGTTTGTATGAGATGACTTTTCAGAGGAGCTGGGCAATTTCAGCAAACCTTAACCAATATTTACGCGTGTATGCATGTATCTGCACAACTCCAAACACTTCTTTTTCTTTCCTTTCTCTTCTCTTTCATTGGTACATCTGCTGTCTCTGTCTCCATATGCAGTCTTACTTTTCCCATCTCTTTCTCCTTTCCAAGTCTTCCTCTCACATCATCTTAGCTCTAAGTATCGCTCCCTGACCCTACTAACATCACATTTTAATCAGATAGCACCTCCTTTTCCTCTTGCAAAACTCTGTTATATCGTTCACACTTGAAATGCAACAGATAGTTTAGCAAGAGCACATTTTTGCAAGGAACAACCAAATAAAGGGGATCCAAATCCAACTAAAGAGCCCTGCTTTCAAAAGGGTACAACAGAGAGTAAAGTGAAATTAGAGTTTCTAAAGCAAGCTGGAAAAGTTTCAGCAAAGTCTTAGCCCTCATTCTGATCACAGCTTAATTGGACACCCTGGTGTTTGAAGGGGCTCAGTGGAAAATAAAACAAATGTGCCTATTGTTCTTAGAATAAGTATTATAATAATAATCATTCTTTAAGCATCAGTAGTGCCTTTCATCTAAGGGCCATAAAGCACTGTGCAAACATTAATGAACTAAGCCTCTCAGTGCTCCTGTAAACAAGGTAGATATTTTAGACCGTTTTAAAATGAAGAGTGAGGTCCAACAAAGACAACAGCAATATGTTTCTTATGTTTGCAGTTGGTTACTTAAATCTATGTACAACTAGACCCAATGTAAGAATTGTCTGGTTTTCAGAAGTAATAAGTAACCTCAGTTCCAATGGCTTTTGGAAGCATGTAGCATCTTTAAAGCTCAATTCCCACTTCAGCTGCTTTAAAAGTATGTGCTCAGATGCCTCTCAAGATCTCTGTCAGAATCAAGCTACAAGCCTGTGCAAGGATCAGAGGAATTTAGGACTCCTGGTTCCTAGTCCCTTCATCTACACAGAAGTCTGCCATGATTTCTGTAGCATAGCTATTATCCCATAAAGACCTAGCCAGTCTTCACTTTCAGCATGAGCAATTCTATTGAATACAATACTGAACACAGTGAATACAGTTGATTTGGTGTGCACAGGTATCTACAGATTAAACCTCACTCACTTCCCTTTCCAGACTTCAGTAGACATACTTGGATGGCTTCATATAACCACTCAATAGTTTTAAACATGAAGTGGAGCTAAATCCCCAAGAAACTTTGCTTCATCAACACATGCTAACTATCTGGAGATTGGTTAAGAAATTTGTAAGCATCATTCCCCATGCGCTGGCTTAACAAGAAGCTTTTATCCTTGCTTTCAGCCAATCCCAGTGCTAAACAGAACACTGCCCAATTTATTTTTTTAACAAGGTTCTCTGCTATTGAAACCAGTATGAAGTGCAATTTATGGGCTTAACATTCAACTGTTAAATTATCCTCCCAACATCTTTCCAGGCCACTCTCTTAGCTCTTCAGAAGAATATTTTATTGGAAAGGGTAAATGTATAAAAATCTACTGTTAAAACACTTAACAAATCTCCCCTGTCAGGCCAGTAAACTGTAGTCCTTCCACTCTGATCTGAGATTGCTGCTTCCCTGCTCCCCCCTCCCCACCTCCCTTTTCTTTGTTTAAAATATGCTGACCACACAGTGACCTCTCGTAACCCATTGGTCGAAAATTACAACCAGCCACACAAACAAGCAGCTCGAGGTCAGAAAGAGCAGGGTCTGCTAAAAGTTAGTAATCATACATTAATTCCCTGACATAATTAATCAAAATGAACCACCGTTATCTAGCGCGGAACCTTTAACCTATTACAAAGGGGTCAATTTGCAAACCACTTGAGCATGGGAGTTTGGTACAAATAGCATACTCCCTTCATCTGGGATGCCCTAAGTAGGCAAAAATGCCTTTGAAGTCCCAAATCTACCAGATTTAGATATAATTTCATCAATCAAGTTAAAAGGCTGCCTTCCCTCCAAAAAGGATTTCATGTAGATCTGTCATCTAGCTCTGTTCAGTGGGTGACTGAAAATCCATTTGTTAGGCTCTTTTTGTCAGGATGGAGTAGGCTGCAGTTGGCTCTACATGTCAAAATAGCTGAAAGTTTATCAAATTGAAGGCTAAGAGGCATGATTTGTGTAAGAACCTGTGCTGACCTGGTAAAGGAAGCAGTAAATCTCAGCTTTGTTATGCCAATCAGCTTCAATTCTGGAACTTAATTGTGTTTTCATTTGATATGACTATAATTACATCTATACAGTGTATCAGCCACTCACAGTGAATAAGACATAGGACTTCACACGTCTGTGCAGCTCCCAGGATCACGCTGCCTCACCATCTTCCGTGCAGTCACCTGAGCAAAGTCCCTGTGAAATAATATTATCTCCATCCTAAAGGAAGGAATTGATGCCCAGAGACACACAGCCTCGACCTTTCAAGGATTTCAGTGCTCAGTTCCTTTTTAAATCTTAAATTTCCACCAACATCTGCATGAGTAAGGCAGCTCGACAGGAATTGGGAGCCTAAATACTCTTAAGATTTGGGTTTAAATGGCACATCCAAGGTCATGCAGGAGGAACTCATAGCAAAGAGGAGAGCAGAATCCAGGTCTCTGAAGTCCACTGAATCAACTTTCCTCCATCAGATTTAAGATCCCTACAGTCCACAGAGTCCCCTTGAGTGTTATCTAATCCTCTTTCATATGTATCAATGCAAACACTCCTCCATATGTATATTTAATGCCTCTATTTATTGCATGCAAGAACGGATGAGCTGTAGAGTTTTAGAATATCATCTTATCCAGTGATATCATATATCACACAGGTGAATCTCAAGGGGTTTATGATGTTACCAAGACCCCCAAATAGAATTAATTTTAAGTCATTCACCGAATCTCATTTTCTGTGTCATATAATGTATGACCACAACAAAGATGTCAAAATATTTTAAATGACTTTACATTAGTATTAGTGCAACAACTGCATTTGGAAAGCATCACACCTACTTAAAAAGTTTCTGGGAAATGTAAAACAAAGTCATTGTTAAGGTCAGTGTTTTAGCAGAGGTCACTTGAACTACAATTCCCAATATGCACATGGAGTTGACATGTCTGGCTTTTAAAACAAAATCACAATTCATCATCTGAATGTCAGATCTGTGGCTTATGAGTTCCTGGTGTCTGAATGATTATGACACTTATAAAGTATATTTTATTATTACAGCCCACTCATTGCCACTCTCCATATGTGAAGTGATGGATATTTTAAATGTAATTCTACTTATTTATATTTATATCTTACTAGTGACAGGTAAAAAGCATCAACAAATCACGGCAATTTTTAACTAGTCAGAGACAAGATTTATTTTCAGTATAGTTAGTATGCATTCTGAGGTTATTAGGAAGAGTGATTCCCACCCAGAGAATCATTGTTTAGTCACGTGTAATTAAAACAAACTCCCCCAAAAAAGGAACCTCAAAACATACAGAAATATCACACAAAGGTAAAAGGGACAATGGTAGAAATGGGCTGCATATGGACTGCAGCATCTCCCTGTGCTGGAAGTGGCTGCTGGAATTTGCAGGGCTAAAGAAAAGGGTGAGATTGCCTTCAACATACTATTTATTCACCATGTTACCATTTCAGACTATTTAATTAAGTACATAATTAATTTATTAAGATGCTTCTGAACGTTAATTGTTAAAAAAAAGTTAAGGCTGCAATAATAAATAGAGTCCTGCAGTTCTTGCTCAGGTTCCTATTTGACCACCTAATTTTCCATAGAACTGTGAGTAAACAACCTTTGCAATTAAAGACAGGTAATGACAAAAATGTATTCACATATGGAGGTGTTCCTGGACAGAAAAACATTCTGGCAGAGCATTTAACATACGCACTTTTGCTGCAGTGCTATTATAATCAAGACGAGTGAGCTCTGCACAGTCTGTAAGACTTTTGTCATTACTGCAGAGACCTTCAATAAGTGCAATGCTTCTTTCCCATCAGCTGGCATAGTTTCCTAGGACACCTTGACACGCTGCCAGACAAACCTACTGCCTGCCTCTGCTCCACTCTACACACTGCATGATCCACTACAAACTGCTGAAACCCTCACTTTGCAAGTGCCTAAAATGGATGCAACTATAATTAATGACCTCTAAGGTCTCTGATAAAGCCATTTAGCATTTGCCAGGCACTTTGTGGGCTTTTGGGTCAAAAACAGTAACAGCAAGGTAGTATTATGAAGTTTCATCCTCAAGTTATAATAATATTTAATAGCAGGATCTTCACGTTGCTAGAAATAAAATCACATTGCAGAAATGTATAACAAAGAAAATGAAATTGAACACATCACCCATTCAAACAGACTTCAGGATTTACAACTTACAATCACAGAATTAGCAAGGTTGGAAACGACCTCTGAGTTCATCTAGTCCAACCATCCACCTGCCACTGATATTGCCCACAAGCTATGTTCCTCAGTGCTACATCCCCACAGTTCTTGAACAACTCCAGAGATGGTGACACACCACCTCCCTGGGCAGCCTGTGCGAATGCCTCACCACTCTTCCTGAGAAGAAGTGTTTCCTAACATTCAACCTGAACCTCCCCTGGTTGAGGCTCTTGAGGCCTCTCATCCTATCCCAGGAAAAGAGGCCAACTCCCACTTTGCCACAACCTCCTTTCAGGGAGTTGTAGGGAGCAATGAGGTCTCCCATGGGCCTCCTTTCCTCCAGACTCAACAAACTTGGAGATGTTTTCTAGACCTGGACAATCACACAGCAATAAACCTGCCCTTACATAAGTAACTTCTGCAGCTGTTAACAAATGCGAAACAAGAGTGGAAATGCCAACTGCAGCACCTTACTTGCAATGTGAGGCTGCTCCAAGGTATGAATTATCTTGAGCTGATTCAGTAACATCACGTGAAGGACAAAGAGGTTGCTGGTAGCTCATTCTGCAATGCTGTTTGAGCTGCAAGGGTTTATGAGTCACGCTCCGGAGAGCCTGCAAGGAAAAACACATTACATTTTCCAGGCCACCAAAACTCAAAGTGAGAAATCTACACGTGTTCAACCCATTCCCTCCCCAACACACACAGTTTAAACCCCGGTGGGATAAGGAATTTATTCGTTAATTCTTGAGCTTAAGCCTTCATCTGAGGAAGAGACAAGCATCGAAGTCTCTCATCTCGAATGGAGATGAAAGTTTCCCAGTTGGCCTCTTCACTGCAGCCTCCCCCTTCCAGGAAGAGATGAATCCCCATGGAAGAAATCCAAAACCCCTGGCCACCCAGCATATCCATCAGAAATAAAAACATCTTCACTGAGAAAAATGCATGCGTAGAACAGAGCACAATGCAAGGCAAGCTCTGCTTGCACAGAGCTGTAGGAAATGAAAGGTAAAAGCCAAAAAAGCCAAACGGAGTGGTGTTAAGATAACAACAGGACGTTGTTTTGATCCCAGGAGATCCCGTGGTTTTTCTTTTTAATAGTGTCACATAGAGTAACTTATAAAGGAGGCAGGGAAGGTGACACAATTTTATAACTCTGCGGGGGCTTCACACCATGGGACAAGATTCCTATTGTACAGAGGAATATTGGAAAGAAAAGGGGGAAAGGAAAAAAAAAAAGAGCTTGCAAAGCAGATCTAAAATTACACCTATTCTCAAGGAAGATACAAATCTAGGCCAAAAGGATTGCTCATTACAATGAACTCCTAGGAACTTTTCTAGCAAACGCTTCACAGGTATTTATCAACTGAGCCCAGGGCAGGTGAGGAGGATCAGAAAGAAAGAAAAACAGCCTGCTTTCTCTCCACAACTCTCTCAGCCCATTTTCTACAACTGTAGAGCTTCTAGCGAGTGTGGCCAGGCCTTCTCTACCCAGAGATACTATACCACGCATCAAGAGGGCTTTTAGCTCTCTCTCTGTTCCTCCCATCATTGGCAGCAGGGGTAGGCTCCCATTGCACTAATGGGCTCTGTGTCACCTAAGAAGGATGCTCTGCCTCATACACACAACACCAACAAATCAGTTGCAAATCTCAAGCCAAAATGTGGAACAAACCCAAGATAATGCCACCCTCTTATGAAAGACACTCATAAACAGTTAAGCCCAAAATAACATCAACTGGGCAGGTTCAGAGGGAGAAACAAAATGCAACAACACTGTGTGGGCATCTGCGATTCTGAAACGATAATGTGAATCCAGGACCATCAATCAATACAGTGGGATGAGTCCCCTGTCCCACTGTTGCTGCTGTGAGGTGAGGTCTCCAAAGATCTCTGCCTGAGCTAATTTCAGTTGTTTGCTGCAAAACTTCTTTTCTTCCCTTCCCACTCTGCATCACACAATGCTCTTTTTGGTGTTTCCGTTCACACTGCGGGCACTGATCCCTGCCAGGAGAGGTGTCAAAACTTCTAATAAAACGACTGCTCACGCAGAAAGTCTCACAGCTGAAATTTTGGAGCCGTACACACTCCCACACAAAGCAGGGCTGTCAGATCGGATTGCAAGGTGTCAGTTTACCCAATTCAAACCTGAGGCTCTATTAAAAAAATGCACAACAACCCATCCCCCTACAGACACACACACGAATGCAAGACGTCAATCAAAAGTAATTGATAGTTTTCCTTCCTCTTCCGTTCTCCAAAGAATGCCAGGAGACAATAATCTGTGAACTCAAATGACTGATGAATAATATCCACGCAAAAATTATGCTGGTGGTGAAACATCCGTAGTTGTTGTCAGTGCTACCTGAAGGCCATAGTCCAGACATCTCAAATGCCTCTGCAGTGCTGTGCTGAACTGCTCTGCACAGTGTGGAGTCTGGGAGGTGACAGAAGGCGTCGGCGCAGATGGGGAGGACAGATGTGGGGTTAAGCCAGATGTGAGGGAAAGAGCTCGGGGCCAGATTGGAGCCTTCAGCACCCACCATTTACGTCAAGCAACTGTGAATGATCTCATTTCCCAAGTCATCTAGGGCAAATGTGGCTTTCTGTAGAGAAGCCAATGCTTTTGGGGGCTGGTGAAAAAATGAAGAATCCAATTGAGCTTCACTGAGACCTGCAGGGATTTAACCCAAACTCCTCCAAACTGAAGGGCAGAGTTCAGTTATCCAACAAGACCTGCACAGAAGGGCAGTGTTACAGTTTCCTGACCCTTCACCTCAGCAGCAGGCAGCATACCAAGTGCTAGAATGCTACTTCCTTTTTAACAATTAGGTGTGCACTTACCTGCAGAAGGATACAGAGAGGCTATCAGGTCTGTGGCCCCACTCTCCTTCTCCCTCATTAACCCACAAAATCCAATGCCAGATCTGCTCCTAGCCACAACATGGATCACAGCTGCGTATCTCTGCTTTCCCCCAAACACACCCACGGATGTGTTGGATCCAATCCACGTGGATGGAAATGCATTAGTAGACAAGCAACTATAAATGTACAAAAAAAAACCCCAACAACCTCCCTTTTTCTTCATGTTCCTTCTCTGGAAGAAAATATCTCTCTTTAGAGCCTCCTGACCAGGCACATGGAGGAGGCAGACACACCTGGCTGGCAAAGCGAGCTCCCTCCAGCTGCATGTGATCACCTCCCTTCAGCCAAACCGCTCTGGCTTAACAAGGAGTGACTATTAAAACTATTGTGCAACTTTTGCTTTGCTACTTCCCATCCAGTTCCATATGTAAAGGCATGGTTCTGCAATTAAACAGTGAAGAGCAGTTTCTCAATGTATATGCTGAAATCCTTGTGTGATTACAGGTGGTAAATGACTCTAAATCATCCACTTTCACCATCTAATACACGCACTGCTTTTGTGGACAGGCATCATATTATATGTTCTGAAGGCGTTTTTTTTTTTTTCCTCAAAGCTTTTTTTTTTTTTTTTTTCTTTCCCATATTTTCGAACACATTGTCCTCTAATTCTACATCTAGCCTGAATGGCAAGAAGTCGCATGGCGCAGGTAGCTCCTCCCAGCCTGCTTGCAGGCAGCCTCAATCAAGACGACCACTACTACTCTTGCCATCTGTAAAGGGCCTTAAGTTGTTGCTGCAGCTATAACCCCATAAAGCTCTCTTCTTTTGTTCTCTTCCCGAGTCTGGTTCCTAGTACCCTTCAGACATTTTATTGATCTTTCTCCCCCTCTAGCTCATACATGCTAATTGTACCTCTGTAGCAAAACAATCTTATTATCATGTTAATTAGTGGGAGGGTTGTTGAGGGTTTCCAGTTCATTACCTGCTAATTTCAAGATAAATGAATCCACAGGTTACTAAGTAAATAAGGTCACCTATCAAGTACTTGTAAACGTGTTTGTAAACAAGGAGGGGAGATGGGGAGGGAGAGAAAGGGAAGCGTGTTTGGCTTGGATGGTGGGAAGTAGCTTTGGATACGGATTTGGCATCCCATGCTGGGGTGACTCCATTTCCCTTGAACTCATTTGTAATGGAAAGCGAATGTTTGCTGTCCACCTGGTTCCCCAGTGGGACGTTTCCTCCCTGCAACTACTTTGTGCGCTCAAAAGGCTCTTTGTGAGCAGATTACTCATTCGGAGGTTCGGTTGATTGTTGCTGCCTTTTGTGGTGAGAGCCAGGAGTGAGGACATGCACAAGGCAAAGCAGCACCAAAGGGGGAACAAAAAGCATGGTAGTGTGAGTCACATAACCTCCCCCTCCGCAGCCTCTCGTGGCTCAGGGTTATTCATATTGCCTTTATACACAGGGACACGGGACAAAGGGATTCAATGGGCGAGGGGAAATAAACAGTCAGATCCTCTGCTGGGGTAAAATGATATATTGCTTTGAAATCCATGTGTCTACACCACCCCCAAACCTCCAACGGAGATCTCTCCAAGTGGGGCAAGTGGATAAAAGGACCATGTAGAAAAGCCTATCTGAGCTATGCGGATTGCAGAGGTAAAGTTATCAGCAGACAAAATGGAAAACGATGCTGAGTGAGCTCCCCCGGGGTCTGCCCTTGACCAGTTCTGTTCAACATGATTGTTAAAGCTAGTGAAATAAAGAATATGAGAATTAAATGTTCAGAGCACACCAAAGTGGGGAGGGCGGCCAGCTCTCAGAAAAGAAGGAAGGCAGTTCAAAGAGAACATGATAAATTGGAAAGAAAAAAAAAATGGTCCAGCAAAAAAAATAAGGAATCACTCCTTGAGGGCAAATTTGGAGTCCAATACTGGGCAGGAACAAGACACGTGAATACAGCGAAAACCAGGCAAGGTGGTGATCCATCATTAAAGGCATGAAGAGATGAGCAGACCTCAAGTTGAGAGGAGAGAACACTGACTGTCATGATGTTGTGGAGAAGGCAAACATCACATTAGCATTTGTAAGCAGGAGCGTTGCCAGCAGGATTCCTGAGTGACCTCCAGCCCATGCAGAGCTGGCTGGGGCCAGGTTTAGAGGGAGAGCTGAAAGATCAGAGCTTTGGGAATCCATCCTGTGAAAAAAAAATTAAGGGGATAGGGGGGGGGGGGGGGACAAGGAAAACAACTGTTTCAATAGAGGGTCTTCAGAAATGCAAAAGATGAAAGAAGGAGATCATTTACCCTCCACAGCCATACTGACTATGCCAGAAAGGAAAGAATTTACCTCAGGGTTGGAAGGATTCAGGCCAGGAGAAGTCAAGTGCCTGTACTCCATGTTTAGAGCCAGCTTAAGGACCCGAGAACATCCAAGACAGGTCTATTGGAGATTTGCATCCTTGTGAGGAGGCTGAAAGCTTGGCAAGGTACCGGCAAAGATTTAAACTTGCAGTAGTGTCTTGAGTTCAAGTATCCGAATGATTCCTTCAGTGCAGCTTCTTAAAGTTATGGGCAGTGAACAGTGGAGTAATTTGCATGAAGATGCTATAAAATCTTTGGAAGAAGCTGGCACAGTCTGCCTGCCTCGGAGCAATGGGATCCAGTAGATCCCTACCCAGAACCTCCTCAGGTACCTCTCATTTTGTATATAGGCGAGAACTCACTAACCGTCCATCTGACAACAGTGTTGATGGATTCATCTTTCAAAACCCACGTTTGAGTCTGTTCCAGAGGTTTGTAGCAGTTCAGAATGGAACACAGACTTTCCAAGGGTGGTCCAATGAAGTAGACCCGAGAGGAGCTGGGCAAATTGCAGTGAGTCATCCATTTGCCCCATCCCACCTTTTTCTCTGAGGGAGATGTCTGTAAACACTCTTCCACTTTGCCATATTTGTTCCAAATTCTGTTTAAAAGATATTCCTGTGGTGAATTTCCTTCTTTTTCCCTGAGTTGCCTTTAAAACTTGTTATTTGTGCCAAAAGCTCTGTCATATGAGTCACCTGATATTCTCCCACCAGCTGGATGAGCACATAGCAAGTTGTATCATCAGCTTCCAAGGGTGAATGATCATGAGAAACATATTTAAAAATGCTTTTTGCGAGCATGCATGATGGAAATAGCCAGTTGAATGTTTGCTAAAAACAAGTGCAAAAGCACCACAAAAAAACTGGCCAGGCAAATTCATTTCATTTTCTCCGTTTTTTGTTGTGGTTTTTTTCCCCACTCCATTGTATTTGAAAAGCTGTATATTTCTCCAATTTTACGAACTAAAAAGTAGAAATAGTTTCTTTTTAAGAGTAGTGGCTGATATCAAATGCATGTGAAATCCTTCTTTGAACTCTGAATCGCTTGTGCATTTCTTCAGATACCGGCAGCTCAAGGAGCTTAAATAGCAAGAATGGCAAATATGAGGAATATTCAGCATGAACTTATCATCACTGTAACTGAACAATTCAGTTATGTGCATGAAACATCATCAAAGGGGATTCTGCATACGTAATTATTTAATTTTCACCTGCTTGCCATGTAGGATTAAAACAGACTTAAGAAACAACGCTTTCTGTGTTCATTTTTGGAGTGGGCTTGGGAATTTTGGGGTTGTTTTTCTGTGGTTAGCTGTATAATTAACCCAAAGCCTATTAAGGCAGACTCGAGTGTTTGTACCGTCTGGTTTTGGTATCCCTTTCAGAACACCTCTAATGTTACTGTGCAAAGTGCAGATACAGCAGCCCAACTGCCATCTGAAACACTGAATTCTCTCCTCTTCTTTTTTTTAATTAAGATAATAAATTGGTCTTAAATTATCCCTGAAATCAGACCAGTGTTGATTACAATGGGTCTCATGCTGTGACAGCTCAAGATGATGTTATTTTTATTCCTTTTCAATGAGATCTTAATCTCTCCCTGCGTGTAAACAAATTGTCACAGTAACCTTGTTCTTTAATCTCCCAGCTGAAGACCTTTAAAGCATTGGGAGATAACAGATCTAACTGAGATTTCATCAGCTTTCAGGCTTTTACAGATATGCCGCATGCCTCTCCCACTGCTGCAGTCTTTAAATGTTGGAGGAGAGAAGTGCACATTACACTCCAGTGCTCGCCTTGAACGTTTGAAAATAGTATCCGCCCAGCAACATGCACTCCAGGGCTCAGATCTGCGATGGAATTGGGATGCAGGCAGGAGGCAGGTTGGTGCTTTTGTGGCAGAACTGTGGCTCTTCGGTGTCACTGCCCTGCTCTGGACAGCAATTGGCAGCAATAAATGCCAGCCTGCATTTCTCATTCTCCTCCTAGCAAAAGGAAACTGCTCCAGCGCGCAGTTAGGAAGAAGAATGAAAGGATCAGAGGTAGCTCACTTTTTTTTTTTTTCCTCTCTCTTCCACCTGCTTTGCAAATATGAACTAATTCATCTTCTAAAGCAACAGATACATAATTATACCCAGTCAGCTATTACAAATGGGGGAAAAGAGGCAACAGGCAGCAAAGTTATTTGCCTAAGGTCCTGCAGTCTCTGGCTCACGAGCAGTGAGTAATTGCCCACCCTGGGGAACCCAAATCTTCGGCCTCGTTGCTCTCCACTGAATACTGTGGAACAAACTCCCAGGATTAGCTGACATCAATAACTGCTTTCCAGCTAAGTTCCCAAACCTTTTTTCTACCAGCTCATGGCAGGGATAATGCTGCCAACCCCACCTGTGAATACTTCTTTAAAAAATAATGTCAACAATCTGCGCGTCAGGCTACTTCAGTGCATTCAGATGAGCATTTTTCATGTTTGAGGGCATGTAAGCATCATTATTCATAGTGGTAGGACTGGGAATACTCAATAGCATCCATAAACCTGGTGTGCATTTCCTTACAGGTGAACATTATTTGTGAGTAGACATATGGGTACATTTTCCAAACACTATACAGGAGCCACTGCACACAGGAAAAAATCTGTTCCTGTTAAAATGGTTTTTGCCCAGGCATCTATTGATGCTTAGAAAATGCACTCCATTTATTTACTGGCGTGCCAGTTATTTGTCTATATAACAATGTTTTCTGTCAAGGCAAAAAATTTATTGCTCCTACAGTTTAAACTCTTTCATTGAAAATTCAGCCAAAACTATTCCAAGTCTGACAGAAAGGCCTCTTTGCAAACAGCACAGATATCTGCATCAGGTTTTCAGTAATATTGTCCCCCATTTACTGCCGACTTTCATTTGTTTTAATATGCTTCCAGATCAAATTTAAAAGCACTTCATATATTTCAAGAGTATTTTAAAGATGGAGCAGATCTACGTTAACAGCTTATAAGTAGCAAATAAATACATATACATACATGTGTATGTATATAATGCAAATTGCTTTTCATTAACATTGCCATCATCTGAGAATTATTTCTCTGCTTCTGGATGTTTGCTTTCTGAGAAGTTGGAGTAAATAAGCACTTTTCAGACGAAAACAGACAGAGTTCTTCCAAGAAAGAATCTTAAGCTGATGGTGCACATTTTACCACATTTCATTTCACATTTCTTCATCAGAAATAATGAAATGCTTCAGCAGCATTAACAACAATAACCAGTTTTTAATACCAAATTATTCTACAGATGTCTCCCCAGTTTGCCAAATTATTTTCTTGGAATTGTAAGAGCCCCAAATAGTGATCTGAGGATACAAAAAGTTGGACTCCATAGGTCTAAAAAGCTTATTTTTTGTCCAGGGTAGGTTTCTATTCTGAAATTCCTTCAGCTTTTCTCTCTTTCTTTTTTCTTTCTTTTCCTCCTCCTTTCTCTCTTTCTTTCTTTTTTTCTCATTTTTTTTCTTTCTCCTTAAGCATCCTGCCATTCAATTTCTAGGAAAATTGATATAATCAGCTCAGGAATGATTCCAGAGAATCACGGTTACTCATCGTTTTCTGAAAATATTATAAATAGATAATAGGAAGCATTTATTTATTCATTTATTTGCCAGCAGGCTGGTGAAGTGACAACACTCAGAGCTGGGTTTGGGAATATTTACTAGCTGAAGCCTGAAACCAAACGGCAGCAGACATGGCTCATAGCGTGAGGAAAAATAAGCTGCTATTGATACTCCCTATTTTCATGCTTCAGAATTTCAGTTTGGAAAATGAAAGAAGAGAACAAGACAGACTTTGCCCGTGGTTGAGAGGCCTGACTGCTCCAGAGGCATGTTGTCCCTACAGCTCCTGATCACCGGAGCCTCCCCATTATCTCCATCGTCTCCGGTGTCAGGAGGAGCGACAGCCATCAGCAGATGCTGCGTGATGTGAAGACAGGGCAGGGCTCTCAGAGAGGACAACTCCATTAAGCCACTGCAGCAGGGCAGAGCACACCTCCCTCCTTGCTTTGCTGTGGGTAATTCCTCTGTGGACACACAGAGTGCTTTTGGAACAAGTACTTAGGATACTTGCACTATCACATGGGGCTGCCCCAGCACTTCAAGCCTTACAGCACGCACAGGTTACAACCTGAGATAACGCAGGGACACTGTTTTTTGCTAATCTGAAACTAGTTCTTGGATCGCTCCCTAACTACCCTTTCTCCTTATAGTCATTCCAAAAAGAAAACATCCCCGATAAGACGTTATTAAAAATGCATAGTGGCTTTAAATGTAAATATCAGCTGGAAGCTCTGCCTTAGATTCTGCAGCTGCAGTTCAAGTCAGTGTGCTTAGCCCCATCTATTCCTTATCATAACGAGGGCTAGCAAAATACCACAGCCCGAACCAAGCATAACTTGTCTTGCAACTTCTGAAAGAGTGAAGATCAATTTTCTCCCTGAGCAACAGCCTAATTCATCAGCAGAGTGGAGACTAAACTGTGGCAAGAACAAATAGCAGAGAGGTACAGAAAGAGAGAAAGAGAAGGGGCTGAAAGGAACACAAAGACAAAGCAGTTTGCAAGCTAGCGAGGTGCCGCCTGGCCTGGAAGAGGTGGTTCTGTGCACAACCCCTGCGTGCCATTTGCAGAGCAGTGAGCCCCAGAGTTACAGTGTGAGACCCATCCTGCTCTAAGGCATCAGCTGCCTCGCTGTAAGCACATCCCTTGTTCTCATGAGTCTGTTTGGAGCGTGCTGAAATGTGGAGAGACAGGTACCTCCATCCACCACTCGGAACAGCCTTCCCCGTGGTGCTGCCAACACAATTTTAAAGATGGTGTAGATGATTGCTTCAGTGAATTTACACATGATGGCAAATAACTATGCTTAATAAAACCGAGAGAGCCTTAATGATTTCATTTTGGTGATTTAATTTATAAAAGCGAAGCTTAATCATTTAATAGCGTCATTAAGAAAACACCACAGGAAGTTTAGAAATAAAGAATCATCCATATCTCCTGAGAAATGAGTTTTTTTCGAACATTCAGCTCATGACAAAATAAAATGGAAAGCTTACAGCTTCTTAAATAATTGCACTTGAAATATAAGCAATCCCTAAAGAATCCATTTAGCCTCATCTTCCACAGCACTGAAGAATTGCATTTCTACTCACCACTGTGTGAAAGAGGCTCCACAAGTAAGAGGCAACACTGGTGATGGGAGTGTGTGTACGCTTTTTTGGTTAAGGAATTCTTTGTGAACTAACTGCAAATGTCACAGCAGCAACAGCAAAAAATAAAATGAAATATATAACATGTTCATTTCAAAAGCAGCAGTTTAAAACAAAATCACACTAGAACATTGCATTTAGTGAAATGGTGGTGGAAGCACCCGTTACCAGCAAATCACAGTGCACGTGTCTGCATGTCTGTCTGTCCATGCATGCACGTGCACACACAAGTGTGTATGAGTCCCTCATGGAAGTCTCCAAGGACTGGATTAACCAAGAGTTTGCATTGGGGTAATGGAAAATATGACCTCATTAGCACTAGGTTTGTCATTTGCTCCATAACACAAAAGTAAATTACAATGTATTAATGCAGTTAGTGTTGTTTTTAATGTGCACTGGGATACAATAAAAGTTTTTATTGGGGAAGTGTGATGGCATGTTTTCACTACGGCATTAGCACTTGTCTTCTGATAGGGCAGCCAGTCATATTACCCAGTGGAACACTCCTATAATGATGTAGTAAAATTTGACTCTGATATAGTAAAATCTGTTTATGGCAAAGCTGCTTTTTCACACAATTGGGCTGGGACAGGGAGCAGAAAGGACGTAGCTAAAAGAATTCCTTCATAACTCTGTTTTCATAGAAAGTGTTTCAAAACAAACAAACAAGCAAACAAGCATTCCCAGGCTTCAGGCCTGCCCAGACAAATTGCCATGCCCATACTATCCATTTCTCTCCACGTGGTTTCTTCTCTTCCTCACCCCATCCAGCAGCTGCCATAAATTAGTGACCACGTCTGGGTGCAGGAACCCAAACAGTATTGTAATTTCACACACTTTTAATGGGCTTGTTGCAGAGTTTTGCACGTACAACCCAACCCATATAAAACCACCTTGGGCACACTCATGTTAGAGGCAAAGTGATGGAGGAGAGCAGGGGGTGGGATCCATCCCAGAGTGAACAGAGCTTGCTTGTGCTTGCTGCAGGGCTGGCAGCCCACACCCTCCTGCCCATGCTCCTTTACTGCCTTCCAAACAACAGGTTTGTGGTACTAACGAAGGCTCACAGGTGCTTCCCAGATTGCTCATTTTAAGCCACGAGTTTGCCTTTCTCTTTCTGCTGACTGGAAAAAGAAAGCTTCTTGCATTTAAGCTCATTCTCATAGATCCATCCATGTCTCTCTGCTCTTCCTCCTTTCCTCTCTGCTCTTATCTGCTACCTTTTATGTTTGAGGGTAAAGAAACGGAGTTTTGCTTTTCCATCTGAGATGCACTGAACCAGCTCAGTTATCCCTTTGGAGGGTTTTGTGAGAACAAGAGCTGGAGTGCAAAATTTTCTAGGATGAATCTGTGAGAGACGTTCATTAAAACAAGAAAAAGACAAGTGAGAAAGTCCTGAGTAAGGCTTTGTAATGAATGGACCCAACTAACCCACGCCTGTGGCTTGCTTGCTAGTCTAGTGACAGTAGTTGAAAGTTATTTATTTGTTTGTAATATACTTTTCCACCGGAACACTTTAGTAATAAAGAGACATGAGGGGAGACACATTAGAAAGTGTGCCATACATCAAAATGAAAAGTACCACATAAGCTACATGATAAACGTAGGATAAAATGTACTTTGTTTTCCACAAGACAAAGCAATAAGGAAAATGCTGTGTCTGGTGTAATTCTGAGCTTGGAACTTCTGCTTGTTATTTATTTTTATTAAGCAAATATACAGCCCTGTAAATGTACCTGGTGCTAACTAAACAAGGATAACATGCCGTCCAGGTCGGGAGAAGTTCAGAGCCCAACGTGGCCAAGGTACTGTGCAGGATAGGCAAAACAAAAGACCACGATTCAGGGAAATATTGAGAGGTTTTAGGTGAAAACAAGCAGAATATATAAAAGAAGCATATAATAGGGCTATTGAAACTCCACATAATCATTAACAGGTATAAACGTATCTCCTTCTTAAACACTCTTCTCCTTCCCATTTATTGATTTATTCCCCGGTGGCATATTGTTTAAATCCTTCACCGTGGATCCCAAAGCAAGGACAGCCTTTGTGTTATTTGTACAGTGCTTAGCACAGCCTGGCCCCGATCTTTCACCGGGGGCTCTTCTATTTCTTTTGCCAGCATCGCTAATATAATGAGCAGAACTGAAGACGAGAGCAAGGAAGAAAAGCATCTGCAAGACGAGAGTCAACAAATTCTGAGGATGACACCAGAGGACTCCAGACAAGAAAGGGGGAGAGGAGGAGGAGGAGGAAGAAAGAGTTTCCGCGGGGGCAGTGGCAGTGATTATCTGCTTTGCTTCTCTTACTTATTTGCTCAGGAGCTCTTGCAGTTTTACTTGAAAACGCACAAGGAGAAGAGAAAAAAAGAGAAAAAAGAAGTTATTTTGACTTACAAAAGCGAGGAAAGGTCATTAGGAAGACTTGAGAACCAATAAAGCTCTTTAAATCCTTCCTACTTGTAATGCATAGAGCAAAGCTTACAGGAAAGCTGCAGCTAAGAAAATTACAAATGGTAATGCTATTATTTGGCATATAGTTGCCAAAGGCATTCAATATAAAGATTTTACAGAGGTGTCAACTGATATATAGCAAACACACAAACAGTCTCCAGCACTGTAACATATGCAAGGAGAGCTGAGGCTAAATATTAAGCATATGAATTATATATTGCTGCGACACGAGGCTGAGAAAATGCTTGCTGTGCACCATAGTTAAAATGAGCAATAAATACCAGCGTTAATGCTGGCAATGTCTTGTTGGGGAAGGTTCCTCCAAGGCCCCTCTCCCAGGTTTGGGTTTCAAACCGTTTTCTGCTGCATTGGATAATGAAGTGATTAGACTGCTCCTTTCTGAGACTGTTACATATTTAAAACAGGTTCCACCGCTGCCTTGTTTTAAACATCAGAACCTGTTTTGGGCGCCAGAAATGTGAAACATGAACATCAATAGCTTTCTCCTGCCAAGATAAGAGCTTGCTGCAGAGGCCAAACATATGTCTTTCTTTCCTTCCCCAGGGAGGTTTCTGGATAAGGAAGAGGTGTGTCTGTACCTGAGCTGCTTAAAATGGCTCAGCCACATATGTGCATTTTGTGAACTTCCCTTTGCTCTTGCTGAGATTTTGTCCTCAGAGCCGCGGCCATCTGCGTTCTGCAGGCCTGAGGCTGGCCTCATCGCTAAAGGGGTTTTAGCACCAGGGTTGGAGCCTTGTGGTGGGTGAGAGCAAGAAAGGGTGACCCCCAAGATTGCCCTTTGAAAGCAGCAGCAGGTTCTTCTCGATAAAATGCAATGCGATTCACCACCACCCACCTCGGCGCCAGCGAGGTTCAGGTGAGGGAGGCGATAGCAATGCAAATGTGTGACACTGCCTATGTCAAAGCAGAGCTTCTGGGCCAGGAAAAGCAATGTCTGGCCATGCTGGGCAGCCAAGGCGATGTCTCTGCCACCTCATGCTGGCAGTACTGCCCATGCCCAACGCCCCACGCAAATGGGACAAAGCATAGCTTTGTCTTTGGCAAGCTTGCCCAAAAGGCAAATTAGTTCTTGCAGCTCAAGTTTAATGAACAAAAAGTGCTAGTAGTAACCAGACCCTTCCCTCCCTCCGACAAGGTGGGGTAGTGTCAGGGCAAACTCAGCTGGGGACTGGAAGAAAGACTTTCCTTGTGTTTCGCCCTGCATGAGTGACTCTGTGCAACCCAACGCAGGGCTGATCCACCCTTGGCTGCCTTCCCCTACAGTCACAGCAGAGAAAAGAGTCACCTGAGCCAGGCTGCCACCCAGCTGCTGGCTGCCAGCCCTAGGATGCTCTCTAGGGAGACAGCTGGAGCCCAAACCTGGGCTTCCCAGCCGAGATTTCCTTCCATCTCTTCTGTTTTGCCATGCAAAATGTTCACAGCTCTGCCCTTTCCAGTGCCATCTCTGCACCCTAGGTGCTCGCTTGTGCCTTGAAATCACAAAACACACCAGAAAATATATAAAGATATATAACAATATATACAGAAGAATAATATATAATGTGAAATGATACACAATGATACGTAATATATAAAAAGGTGTAACAATATATAAAAAATTAAGTAGATCTAGAAACTCAGTCTGATTGTAAAAAGTGACAATATTCCATGTTTCCTTCTTCAAAATGGACATCAAAACCCCAGGTCACTTTTATAGTGCAAGGACTAATGGGGATTCACAACTACATTCAGGAGTGGTGGATGTGAAGTTACAGGGTGACTTCAGCTTCACCCTTTATTATGTAAAAGGCCTCAAGTGTGGTCTGACCATATGTGTAGAGCCAGTCCTCAAGTACTGGGCAGCCACCTTTAAAGTAGAAACAGCAGTAAGAGAACACAGACCTGGAGAGATACAGAAAGTGACCCTAAAAATGCAGGGAGCTTTGGATAGCAAAACTGATGGTTGCCTTGTGGTATTTTGGCTCCGCTAAGGAGCCAGAGCTCCTAAATCTTCACAGTCAGCACCATCCAATTTTTAAGCAGTTAGGCAGTGATAAATAAATGCTCATTTAACTGCCTCTTATTGAAATTAATAGGAATGAATCATCCTGGCATTTTTGAAAAATCTCTCTGAAGCAGCTTAGGTGCCCAGATATCTTCAGCAGCATAGACTTTTCAAGTACTAGTTAGAACCTGCTTCCTGATGTGTCTCACAGCACTAAATCACATAGAATGAATGGAGTTTCTTAATGAATGGGAGAAGATGGGGCTCAGCTGCCAAGCTCCCCTTGCCTTGTGCCGAGCATGGCAGTAGCTGTGTCTGCCTTCCCTTAGGCAGTCAAAATTTGGGTGGAAACCATGCACTCCATCCTGTTAGCCAGAGTTGCATGCACACCCTTTGCACTGCAGTGCTGCTCTTCAGCCCTGGATTCATTTACATTTTCCAAAATATTTTGTTTTTTTTTTCTCCCTGGGTCTCTGGGCACACAGAGTCTCCCCAGGGAGGTTACATCCACGTCCAGCACTCTCTCCTGTACCATGGTACCTGCAGTGCTACCTGGCCCAAAGCCCCTGACAAACCTGAGCTTTGTTTAGGCAGCCTCCCTCTCATTTGTCCATCAGGCTCCCATGGAGCCCAGAATAACTTTGCTGGCTCAATGCTTGAGAGGCAGAAACCATGCTACTCTGTCAGAGATTCCAGCCATCAAAAATTCAAACTGCCACAAGTACAGAGGTCAGAGGGAGATGGGATGGGGCTGCCATAGGGAGAAAGAGAGCTCAGCTACTTCTGTGGTCATGAGCTTGTTCCCAGCCAAAAGGCTTTAGTCCATGGGAGTTGCTGTGAGAAGAGAAGTGAAGGGAAGGCATTTGGGAATGCTTTGCATCCTTTTGTGTTTGATTTTGGATGGCTTGGGAGGCACAGCACATTCAGATCCCAATGTCATTGTTTAAGGGGTTGTT